TGTCTATTTTGAAACTGTGAAGGTCTTGTACATATTTTGACAGACTGTATGAACTCATCTGTGTATAAGTACTGTTGTGTCTGGAAGATACTGTTTCCTTAGAGTCCTCTACCACAGCTGATTATTACAATCTCTCCTTCTCCTTCCCTGCATGGATCCCTGATCTTTGAGGGGAAGGGTTTGAAAAAGACAGCTTATTTAGTCTGAGTGCTCCTAAGTCTCATACGTTCTGTACATCATCCAGCTATGGGTATCTTTGCTAATCGATGTCTACTGCAAGAACAAACTTCTCTGAGGAGAGTTTTGTTGTACTATCCTCTATGGGTATAGCAATATGTCATTAGGAGTTATGTTATTGCTATGTTCATTTAGCAAAATAGTTGTAAGTTTTCCCAAAGTTCCATGGCTTATCTAGTCTCAGGTTCTTGGCCATTTTAGCAGTGTCATGTACAGGTTCCATTTCATAAAGTTGGCCTAAATCCAATCAAAAAGTGATTTATTTGTTATGCCCATAACATTTGTGACCCTATTATACCAGTATGCCTTGCAGGTCAGTCTATGTTATAGGCTGCAAGATCTATAGCTAGGTAAAATTGATGATTACTTTTCTGTTCCAGCAGTGTGTAAAGTCCCTTCTAGTACCATGAATGCTAGTTAGTAGGGGTAAAGCTTCTAGTTGAACACCAGCTCAATTTCTGCATCAACAACATTAAGGAAGTAGTGTCTTCAACAACAGGGCCATCAGATTATGTTGAGTAATCAATAAACTTCTCAAAATCCCATGATGTTTTCAGGTGGTCTAATGTTCCCTTTAACTAACAACTGAACACAACTGTACAAAATGTATCCCATTCCTGCCACTGAAGGTTTTTTTTTTTTTTCTGGTGGCATAAGATGTCTGTTTTGTGCCTGCATGGACAGACCCCAGAGGCTGAAAAACCCAGAGGTCTTGGATAGAACCAAACATGACTGGCAACAAAGAAAAAAAAGTCAATGAAATGATTCCTAATGATATTCTGCTATACTCATAGATCATTGCCTTGCCCAGTTGTCATCAAAGAGGCTTTACCGAGTAACTTATGGAATAGTTGCAGAGACCCACAGACAAACATTAGGCTGACCTCAGCAAATCCTATGAAAGAGGCAGAGGAAGGATTATGGGAGCCAGAGGGGCAAAGGACCCTGCCAGAAAATACACAGTCAACTGACCTGGGTTCAAGGGGCTTCATGGATATTGAACCAACAACCAGAGAACTTACATGGGATTGACGTGGGCCCTCTGCACATGTGTTGCAGTTGTGTGGCTTGATCTTCTTGTGGGACTCCTGGCACAGGGAGTGGGCCTGTCTCTGACTCTGCTGCCTGTTCTTTGGATCCTTTCTTCTTGCTGGGTTGCCTCATCCAGCCTTAATAGACGATGAGGTGCCTAGTCTTGCTGCAACTTGATCTCCCATGGCTAGCTGATATACATGGAAGGCCTGTACTTTTCTGAAGGGAAGGGAGGGGCAGTGAATGTGGGGGAGAGGGGAGCTTATGGGAGGGATTGGGAAGAAAGGAGGGAGGGAAGGGAAACTGTGATGGGGCTGAGAAAAATTAATTGATTAATTAATAAAAAATTTTTAAAAGATGTCTATTTTGGGCTTTGTCTCACACATTATATGATAATTCCAACAATATGAAATGGAGGTTGCTCTTTACAAGAAGCAACAAGTCAGGATAAAGAAAATAATGTTACTACCTTCAAAGGCAAGCCAGAATTAGAATGATTGTTAGCCCTGGGAATGATTTTTTTTAATTTACTTGAAATATAGGAAAGTTGTGTTCTATTTCACACATAAAAACTTCACCAAAGTAGACTGAATCATTGTGTAAATTCCTTCTTGGAATATCCTAAGTCATTCTACCAAGAGCTGTTTGGAGTCATCAAATGGAGGCATTAATTTTTGAGCATTTCAAGGAGCTCAAGTAAGTAGCTATGCTTCAGAAAAATCAGGCTGTATTTAGTAAGACCAATGACCTTCACACTCACACATTCTCTTACACACACATTTATAAATGCACACAGTGTACAAACTAAGGTTCATATTATAATGGAGAATGTGTCTTAGTTTCATTCCTGTTGTTATTTTTAAAAAAAGTACTATGAAAAGGCAACTTATGGAATAAAAGGTTTTAGCTCACAGTTTCAGGTTATGATCCTTTATTGTGGGGAAATAATACTTTAAGCCCCCTATACCACTAGAAACATCACACAGCTATCTAAGGTCTAGACAAAGTTCTGACAGTTCCAGAGAAATGAAAGACAAAATATCCCAGGCAACTGTGGCATGAAACAGATAATAAAGATAATACAAGAAAAAAAAAGGAAAGTAAATCTGGCTACTTAACGTAAATGAAGGCCATTAAGAATTATGAATAATAAAAATCAATGAACTATGGGAGAGTTGGAGCTTAGAAAGGAGTCAATAATCACTTGTAATTAAAAGGACCCTTGTGATTCCATAAGAAGGAACTTTGCAGAGAAAAATACATCATCTCTTAACGTTTCTTAAGTTTTGTGGTTTTTGTTTTGTTTTCCCTCTCAGCATTAAAACAGATCATTGTTTACTTGAATTCTGTGCTCTGTGTTCATTGAGAGTGGAATGCCGATGAGCTCCATCATTGGTTGAAAGCACATGTTCTGCAAACATGAGGACCTTAGTTTGAATCCCCAACATCCAAAGCATCTGCTTAAAAATGCAAGCATGGCTGCACAAGCCTGTAACACTGGCATATAGGGGCAGAGCAAGGTGGCTATTTAACCCTTTCTGGTTAGACATTCTGGGCAAAATAGCATGCCTCCAACTCTGTGAGAGACCCTGTTCCAGGCAGTAAGATGGAGAGCAATAAAGACAGTTTTACATCTTGGCTTGGGTACCACATGACTGTGCACACTTACACCCTCAGCTGCATACACAATGCAAAGCACACCTTGAGCACCCCATCCCAAAACATACCATTTTAACAGTCACTAGAAGAACTGGAGCAAACAGCATGTGATGTTCCCAAGAAGAGCTGAGTCAAATAGCAGTTGCGGCAGAGGAGCTCCTTGAATTTTAAGGCACATGTCCTCCGTGCTGCTATTTAAATTCTGTGAGCAACTCATTTACTCCCTGTGCTTTTGTCTTCTCTTTTCTCCCATGCCATTGTGTTTTTGCAGCTGAATTTATATAATTTAAAATTTCTCATAATGAGAGCCCAGACATACAAGACAAAAACTAGAAAAAAGTAAAGGAATCAGACAATCAAAATTTATCAAATCCTCCAAAACTACCAGAATACTGCTCCAGCTTCCACAGGGCTTGTTTTAGCCTGTCTTCCACTATTAAAGTTTTTGTTCATTTTTGTTATTTGTTACATTCATGATCCTAGGAAAGGCCCTGATAATAATCACCTATTAAAGGAGTCTGATCTCTGCTGACACACTCAATACATTTAACAATGCCCTAGCAAGACATTCTCCTTTTTCATATAGGAAAAACTCTGGTACAGATGGAATGTGGTCCTGATTGAACAAGGAGCAAAGCCCAAATCGGAATCCTCATCTGCCAAACACTACTCTCACTCCCTGTACAGGTAACAGGATGAGCCAGCAAGCCATGCTCACAGAAACAAACAAGGAGCACAGGATTCCCTCTCTTTACCATATGTTTGTAGACAAAATTCTAAACAGTCTTATTACATAAGGAACAGAGAGCCAAATAACAGAGTTAAAAGCCTAAGAGATCCGAGCACCAGCAAAGAGCCAAGACCATCTTATCTTATCACTTGCTGCTGTCCTTCGCTTGAAAGAGAGAACTTCTTCCTGTGTGTCTTGAGTTTATTGCTTTCCTGTTCTGCCTTCTCATTGGCTCTAAGCTCGGCCACATGACTTCCTTGCCACTGCCTGTCTATACAGACCTCCTGGTCTCTATGGTTGGTACTGGGATTAAAGACTCAAGGGTCACCACGCTTGGCTGTGTCCTTGACCACAAAGAGACTCTGCTTGCCCTAAGGGCGTGGTCTACCACACTTGAATTCTGTTCCTGGCTCACTAATGACCTCTGATCTCCAGGCAAACTATTCATTAACATACAAATAAAATCACATTTCAGCACAATTAAAATATCACCACATATGTGTGGGTTTTTTTTGTTGTTGTTGTTTTGTTTTGTTTTGCTTTAGGGGACTCCCAAGCATTCTTGAAAAGTCCATCTAAAAAAGCACAAACGATAAAAAAACTGTAGGCCAGGCCAACTACCATGCAAGGACAGTATCATTAAATCCGGTGCTTTCCCAAGTCTGGGGACACCACAAATATTTGTTTAAGAACTTAACAAACTACTAATACTGAAAAGTTGAGAAACAAGTTTGTGGACAAAAATGGAGTAGTGAAGTAACAATGCATACCAACTGAAAGGAAGTCTTTTATTCATTTCCTGTGCATTGGGATTTGCATGGAATGAATAACCTCAATAGATGGGCAGACTCTGATTTCTAGCAGAGGTTTGCCTATTCACAACAGAAACATGATGAATATTTCAAATTCAAGCTCACCACATTTACTTGGGAAGTGCTTCCTCTTAGATCCTGTCACTTTCACGCTATAAAATGGAAAGGTCAGAGTATTTCTGGAAACATTTTCCTCTATGGAGACAGCATCACTTAAAATGACAGCCCAGAAAGATGACACAACATCCCAAAAGTTTGCTGCCACCCGTAAGTCTCTTTAAGGCAAAGGATTGTGATTTGTTTCACAAGGTTCTCTAACTTTGGAGAAAGGAAATCTTTCTAATAACTGTAAAGTTGCATGAACCATTTGTGATGCCAAAAATACTGAGGATGGCAGTGTTGAAGAAGATACTGAAATAAAGGGTTAAGTATGTTACATAATATTTAATTAATAGCAATGATTGTCAGAGTCACCAGAAATGTATTGCCACATCATTGATATCATGGATGACAGCAACCCTGGGGTTCAGGCTCAATATAACATAAGATGTAGACCAGGACAGAGAGTTCAAAGTATTTCTTTTTTTCCATCAAGTATTCTCTATTAAATAATTCCAGGAAAAATTTATACTTTAATGTTTCTCTTGTGCCAATTAAAATCAGTTAGAATCACCAGCTGTTAAAATAAATTTGAGAGATTAATACACTCTGAAGAGGGCTCTTTCCTTAAAGTCATATGCAGATAACAGAAGAAAGACAAATGTATGCCAGTTTATGGTGTCTGGGTTGTAACATATTTGAAACTGCAGTGAATATAACTGAATGTGTTTAGCGATAAGATAGAAAAGCACTCTTCTTTGTAGTTATTATCTCAAGAAAAGAGTGGAGAAAAGAAGCAATAGTGGGTGTTGGCTAGTCCCTCCCTATTGTCCTCTCCCCACTCACCCAGTGCCAGTAGCCACATTCACACCTACGAACCACTGCTTTGCATGTTAATGGGTCTTTATTCCTCTATTACACACATTCCAAATACATAAAATGCTTTGTTCTGACCACCATTATGTACCAGTATGCATATGTGTTATTGGTTCACAACACATTATTGAAGTGCTTGTAAGCCATCTGTGAATGAAAATGGTGGAATAAAAAGTGTAATGACACTCAGGAATCACTGAGACAGTGAGATCACAAGTTCAAGGACAGTACGGGTGACACAGTCAGACTTTGTCTCTAAAGCAGTAGTTACAGTTGTGAGTACAAGACGACCCCTAGGATCTATGTGACTTAACCTTGTGCAATTTTCTCAAAGTTCATTTCTGCTCTAGAACTTCATGAGAGGAAGAAAAACAAAGTGGCAGCTCTCTGTGTGCTCTTCTGGTGTCTGCCTAGGGACAGAAAAGACAAGGAATGGTGAGATGAACTGAGGTCTGCTTCTTCTCCATCACTCTCTGTTCAGACTCTGATGCCCTGCCAAGTTGGACAGTTATCACAGAAAAGGTAAACACATCAAGGATGTTATCCATCTCTGTTCAGGAGCTGTGGTCCTGCAATCATGGCCCTGCTAATCATTCCTGCTAATCATTCCCTGCATAAGGAATGTCAGTATAGTATATTCATGCTATACTGACAGAGAATGCAAAATCCGAACAGTTAGCTAAGACCTTCCCCACCTTACCTAGGATTTAACTACTAAAGGGACAATATAGTCAGGATCTTAAGCTTAATTACTTAGAAAATAAATATTTTGCTATAAAATCTCTTTAGAAACCAAAGCAAAATGTTTCTAGGGATCTGTTCACAGTCATGAATATTCTATATTCATTACATCACAAAAGCAGTCTTTCTACTCTGGTATATGAAGTCATGTTTCATTTGGGGGTCTAGGGCAGACTTCTATCTTCATGATCTCATTGTTTCTTTTCTTTACACCAAATGATTACAGAATCTAAGCAAGAGCTTTATAGATATTTGAGGCAATTCTGTCCTGTCATTTTTTATGTACATGCTGACTCAATGTCACAGAATAACTGAGCTGCTCCTGCCTTTCCTGGCAGTCCAAAGAAAGAGTAATGCATACAAATCATTTTACTGCTTAAAAGTTTTGAATAAAACATGCTAACCTTGTCATACTAAGTGACAGACAGAAATGTCACCATTGTTTGCCAGGGACAAATAATCTATATACTTCATGTATAATTCATCTGATCTTTAAGAATGTTTAACAATATTGAATTTAGATAAATTTCAATGTTATGATGAATCAAACTTCCTTTATCAATTTCCACATGTGCCTCATCAATTTAAGTCTCCATCTATATTGCTCCATGTTGTATTAACTGTGACAGATCTAAAGGAGATTCATATTTCCAGGAAAAATTTATGGGTCCACTGCCCATAAGCAGAGGCTTCTTTATCAACTCTTAACTTGGAAGCCTCGAATTACCAAAGCTTTGTAAATCTGCCAGACACCCCACTTGCAAATACAGATATCAATAAGCCTTTCTAAGCTCGAGCCTTTGGTCTCTGAACAGAAACTGAAGAACAAACACATCAACATGAAATTTCAATCCTTTCTGAACTGAAGTTTCAGTGACTTCCTATTCGTTTCTGTCAATTAAAGCTAACCAAAGGTAGGCCTGGGAATGAATCATGAGGCAAAATGGGAAAGAATGTGCCATGCAGGTTTCGAGATGAATGGAAGCCCCCATACCATGGATAAGAAGACCTCTTTCCCTGTAATGCATGCTCTCCAGAGCACTGGTCCAGGGAGCCTATTTTGTGGTTTGCCTGAATATGAACACTGAAAACATCTCACCTAGGACTATCCTGTTGTTTTTCTCTCTTAGGTCTCTGATGACTCTCATTTTCTGAACCTTAGAGTATTCTTCCCATGACTGGACAGCATTTTTATGCTGATTTAAAGAATTTGATAATTAAATTTCTCATGAAGCACAAGGTAAGAATTTTGGACATTTTCAACCACTAAAAGAAGATAAAGAAAAGAAAAACATGTGCATGTGTGTCACATTTCAAAAACTAACATTTGAACTGGATATGATGGCACATGCCTTTAATCTCAGCACTTGTGGGCCAGAGGCAGGGAAATATCTGCGACTTTGTGGGTAGCTTAATCTGCCTAGTGAGTTCCAGAAAAATGAGGGGTATGTAGAGAGACCCTGTCTCAATAATAATAATAATAATAATAATAATAATAATAATAATAATAATAATTTTATTAACTGAAACTACCCTTTCCTCTCTTTGATTATGATCATATATACATTATGCATATGTCAGCTCATCTCTAAATACACCTAGATATATGCATATAGGTACATATGAACATACATCTATGTACATACACACACACACACACACACACAGACACACACACATAATTAATTTTTCCTAGTACTCTGGAAAAGCAGACCATTTTTTCACTAACTGAGCTATCTCCTTTGTGGCCTATTCACAAAGTAGTAGAAAATTATATGAGAAGTTCATTTAATTCTTCAAAGATGGAAATGTCAGCAATGCAGAGTTGAGTAAATGAACCTATGGGAAATAAAATTATGTATTGGACTTAAAACAGGCCTTCTTTTTCAGAAATGTCTAATACATTTTTTTAAGTTTGTAAAGCCCCTCTTTCAAATTTCTATGTGCAAAAGATTTTTAATTCCTGAAGTTATTTATAAATCATTACATATTATTACTTTTTTCAGGGTTGGGCACCTACACTTTTCATTTGATGTTCCAAGGTGAGTTATGAGACTCACCAGATAGTATTGAATATTACTGGCTGGCAATGTAGGCACCGCTATGTGTTTAGAATGGTTTATTTCTAAATGGAAGTAGGAAATTGCTTCAGTTATAATAAGGAAAGTTGAGAATGTACCAGGGTGAGGGATGAAGTGGGGATGAAGAGACAGGAAAGTATGGAGAATGGGTATAATTCAACTATGTTACATGCATATATGAAACATTTCATATATAAATATATGAGAAAATACAACATTTAAACTCTTTTTTATAATTCTGGTACACTAATAACAAATGAAAAACAAAAAAGAAACTCAAGGATTTCTTATTCCAAAGAACTTAACATTGGCCCTTAACTAAGCAATTTATAAGAAGATCTCTAACAAAATATCACATTTCAGCTACAGTAATACATGCCTGTAGATTTCCATTATTTTTCCAACAGTTCTAATTTCATTGTGGAACATTCACCAGATGGAAAGGGGCCATTCTATGAGCTTTTGGCAGATAGTGTAAAGTTGGCTCTGCTAAATGAAAATCTCTTGTTTGAGGAGCCTGTGAAATTGGCAATAATTGACATTTGAACACACAGAGAATTTTAAAACTGTTTTTTTATTTGCAACAAGAGAGTCTTTGGAAGAGATTTTTGTTAACCCTTAAAATTTTTATTTTACCTTTAAACCCAGGCCTTCAGTTAGCCCTTAAGATTTATTTATTAAATCTGTCCCATTACTAATTCTCACCCTTATTATTATTTTTTTTTGTGTAATCGTGTGAATGATAGGATATGGGAATTGAAATCCATTCACTGGTGCTTGAGAAAAGCTGGATGCTCTTCTAATCTCCTCCTCTGAGAAACTTTGCCCGCACACACAGGGAGTGAGGATTTTTATGGTGCTTTATTCCTAGTTGATAGGAAGGACAATGATTTCTTCTTACTAGAAAATACTTCCCTCTTGTATTGATTATTATGTAATTTTGCTAAGACAAAATACATAGCAAAAGAAACTTAAGGATGAAAGAACTTACTTTGCCCCACAGTTTGAGATATATTCCAGGATTTTGGGGAAGCCAAGGTGGCAAAATCTTGAAGTTGTTGGCCACATCGTGTCTGTAATCAGGAAGAAGAGAATGATAGCTGTGGTGCTCAACTTGCATCCTCCTTTTAATGTGGTGGTATTGTGTTCCCCAAAATATTGTGTACCTTAATAAACTTATCTGGGGTCAGAGAACAGAAAAGCCACTAGTTAGGCAGTGATAGCACATGCCTTTATTCCTGGTATTCCAGAGGCAGAAATCCATCTGGGATCTCTGTGAGTTCAAGGCCACATTGGAAACAGCCAGGCTTGGTGACTCACGCCTTTAATCCCAGGAAGCAAAATTTTAATCCTAGGGAGTGATGGTAGAAAGCAGAAAGGTATATAAGGTGTGAGGACCAGAAACTAGAAGCATTTGGCTGGTTAAGCATGTGGCTGGTTAAGCATGTGGCTGATTAAGCATTCGGCTGGTTAAGCTTTCAGGCTTTGAAGCAGCACAGTTCAGCTGGGATTCATTCTGGATGAGGACTCAGAGGCTTCCAGTCTGAGGAAACAGGACCAGCGGAGGAACTGTTGAGGTGAGATAGCTGTGGCTTGTTCTGTCTCTCTGATCTTCCAGTGTTCACCCCAATACCTGGCTCAGGTTTGATTTTATTAGTAAGAACCTTTAAGATTCATGCTACATTTTAATTCAGTCTAGTATCCAAGTCCAGCGGAGTGTACCACTCACAGTTTAATGGGTCTTCCCACCTCAATGAACCTGATCAAGAAAATCTCCTATGAACATGCCCAAATGCAGCTCACCCATTAAGTTAAGAACTGTGACTAACCACTACAACTCTATGTAGGCTTGGGGTTGGGATCATTAATCTTGGTTGTCAGATTGATTTGGTGGGGAACAGATATTAGATCAGCATTTTTCTGATTTGTCTGTGATGGCTTAGACAGAGAGATTAGTGAGTGGAGAGACCCACCTCGGATACGAGTGTCACCACATCATATAGGCTAGAAGCCAGAGTGGAATAAAAGGAGAAGCAGAAAAAACATACCAGTACAGGCATTCTGCTCCCTCAACTTCACAAGCTGAGATTTACCACATCTTCTTATCCATGGCTGACTAGATCCTCGGGAAGCAGAAACCACAAGATGTTTTTCTTCCTGTTAATTTTTCCTTTCACGTAGCTGTCACAGTGACAGTAAGTCTAAGTTATACAAAGGTATTTTAAACATTCTTTTGCTGTAAACTACCTCTTTCTTTACTGTAATTTCATTTGGGAGAGTCAGGAAAATCGTTAGTGTTTTTTGGGGGGCAGAGTGTATTTAGAACCAAGATTGGTGTATATGTTCAGGGTCCTCAGAGGTTCACTGTTTTCTACTTACATTTCTGTTTATTATTTTTTTTCCAGATAGATCTTGCTTGTAGCTAGAGTTTTCCTGCCTTGCCCACAATCAGGACAAATCTCTATCACTTGCCAGTCCCACAGCCCCTCAGACCCGATCAAGTAAACACAGAGACTTATATTGCTTACAAACTCTATGGCCGTGGCAGGCTTCTTGCTAACAGTTCTTATATCTTAAATTAACCCATTTCTATTAATCTATACCTTGCCACGTGGCTCGTGGCTTACCCATGTCTTCACATGCTTCTTGTCATGGCAGCGGCTGGCAGTGTCTCCCTCTGTCTTCCTGTTCCCTCCTTTCTCCTCTCTGTTAGTCCCGCCTATACTTCCTGCCTGGCCACTGGCCAATCAGTGTTTTATTTATTGACCAATCAGAGCATTTGACATACAGGCCATCCCACAGCACTTGCTGGTGAAAAAAAAATAAACAAATGTAAGCACTCCAGGGATGAGGTAAATTTGCCAAACTAATGCCAGCAACAGTCCAGCAGAATATTGAATGTCGTTGACCATGGTATTCTTGGATGTTCTTTATGTTGTGACTCTAACAGCTATAAACAAGCTTATTGTTTTTCAGGAACCCAAATACCAGGAGGATGGTAGAAATCATTTATATTAACAAAATTATAAGACAAATATTCAAAGGAGCCATTAAACTGAGACCACTCTGTCTACTATGTCTAATATTTTTCAGAAGCTTCATGTACTTCTATAGAATATATCATGATGACATTTCATTATTTAAAACTTGTCATTCTTCATGATTTCCAAACAATGGTATGAAATCTGTAAACTTCCTAAAATTCAAGAAATGATAATTATAGAGAAGGCTCAGAAATTAAGAGCATTTGCTGATCTTCAAGAGGAAATGACCTGAGTTTGCTCCCAACACCTACATGGAGACTCACAACCATATGTAACTTCAGTTCTAGGAGAGCCATGACCTCGTTTGGCCTCTATGGGCACCTGCACATAAATAATGCACTGACAGGTAAATGGTGCACATGCAGCTAAAATACCTGTACACATAAAATATTAAAAACAATTAGTTACAAACAAATAAAATAAAATTTAGAAAATGAAGTACATCACTCAAAAACATTGAATATACAGTAAAGAACCACGGCTGTCTTCTTCAGTTCATTTTGAGAGCTCAAAGGATGAAGCTACATTCTATGTTCATACTTACACTTTAAAAAAAGAGTCAAGTGATATAGTGAATGGTGTTCAGAATACCCCAAGGGAGCAGCTAAACTTATATTTGAGAATAATTAACCAGGGAAAGATTTACTGAAAAATAATCAAAAGAAGAATAAGGGAGAGAACAATAGTGGCAATTACAATTAATATAAAGAGAAAAGGATGACAAAAGATTACAGTTTCAATTGCAGTCTGCAGTGGTGTGTATTATATCCTATAACATAAAGCTGTTAACTCATTTAGAGAGGAAAAACACGAGATGAATCAAGTGGTTACGAATTTGGTTTTGTCTCACAAAACATCTTGATTGGGTATTTTGAACTGAAAAGACTCCTCCAGAAAAAGAACTGAAAAACAGGAAGAAATTAGTAGGATCATATTTATTTTGCAGATGAGAATAAGGAGGACTTGGATGTAAGGGTTTGCAAACTTCAAGAAGTCTTCAAACTCTACGTAATTGATTGATCAGGTTCATGTAGAAGGCATTGAGAACAGATGCAGACAGAACTTTGGGACACATATTCTTTGTAACAAAATGCCTTTTGAGATGGGTGGCATGCTCACATATGTGATCTCAGCATATTGGAGTCTAAATCAGGAGGACATCTATGACTTTGGGACTGACCTGGTTCTAGACCATAATAGGCTACAGAATGAGACCCTGTTTCAATGAAAGAAAATAAAGAAAGAAGGGAGGGAGGGAGGGAGAGAGAGAGAGAGAGAGAGGGAAGGAGGGAGGGTGGAGGGGGAAGGAAGGAAGAAACAAAGAAACAAAACTTAATATATTACCACCTTTAAAGAATAAAGGGATACTTCCTTTGGAGATATGAGCAAGCTGTTGCTAACATTTCTTCCTGTTAATCACAAAAGTTAGTTGTGAGGATCTTCACTCCCTGGTTTAAAAGATGTAGTTACAGGGGGCTTATTCTATAGCCAAGGACAATGAACACAATTTCCCTCGTGGAAAATGACTTGTATTTTCATTATTTTTCTTTTAAATCAAGACAAGTACACAGAGTCACTTTCACCAATAATTCTTCATTTATCTACTGGGCTATGGAGACGGTTGGTCCTGCTATTATGTAAAAGGAAAATTTCAGAAGAAATCATCTGAACCATCTCTGATAAGCTAACAAATAATTCAGACATTGTTAGAGTTCTGCAGATATTGAATTTTGTTCTCTGTTGAAACTTAAATAACCAGTCTTTTGGAAGCAGAGAAGCCTGGGCTATGAGGCTCCATGAACACTTACAATACTTCAAATCCTTCCCTTGGAGGTACAGAAGAGGTAAGTGTCTAGAAACTACTAAATCTTGCTTTTCCAACAGTTTTCAAATAGTACCTGTTAAAAGAAAGGAGGATATTGAATGCTTGGGCACCTATAGCACACACACACACACACACAAAAAAAAAAAAAAAAAAAAAAAAAACAAAACTGAAATAGTCTGCCAAGAGGGGAGACTGTTACATCCCTAGACAAACACACTGTCATCAGTAAATATCAATGGCTGTGAAGTCTATGTAGCACAGACGCATAGTTCATGAGTAGTTAATGTTAAAGGACAACAGAACCAACTTCTGGTGCTCCTATACAACCAATAAAATGGTAAATACAAAATGATTTCTCAATACTATTTAGGAGAAAGTGCAAGGATGGGTTAATGTCAATACAAAAATACAAAGAAAAGTTTCAAGAAATAACATAACATACATGGAATAAGTCAATACATTAGAGGAAACTAACAAATAAAGACAACAATGACTAAAAGAAAAAAACTTAAAACTTCCAGGACTTCTGAGTTTGAAAGTGGAAGGTGAGATTTCCTTTAAACAATTCAAGTAATAATTATTTGGTGCTGAGGGTGGAGAACTCTGTATTGGTAACTTGAAAAACTTACATTTATCTAGCACTAAAAGGCACAGGGAACCTAGCTGACTGAAGTTTGTAAAGAAACATAACAACCCAGAGTAACACAGACCAATGACCAATCAAACACATTGAAAATAAATACAATGTGTACCACCAAGGAATAAATAAAGATGTCATCTTTATTATTATTTATTGTGTTCATTGCCCTTGGCTACAGAGTAAGTCTCCTATATCTACATCTTTTAAACAAGGGAGCAGAGGTCCTTACAATTAACTTTTGTAATTAACAAGTAAAAGTGTTACCAACAGCTTGCTCATATCTACAAAGGTAGTGTCCCTTGTAAGATGAATTGCTAAATGGTTTTATTAATTAAAAAAAAAACCCAGAGCCAGATATTGGAGTAAAAACTGAGAGATCGGAAAAGCAAAAAGAAGCCAGCCACATTTTTACCACTTGGATATCCTCAGCCAAGAGAGAGCTACTTCCTGTATACCTAGGCCTATATGCCTTTGCATCCCTGCCCTATTACTTTCTCTCTCCACCCAGCTACATAACTTTCCTCTTTCCTCCCAGCAATGTCACTTCCTATCTGTCTTTACAGACTTCCAGACCTCTATGGTTAACTGGCACTGGGATTTAAAAGTGTGTGCTACCACACATAGCTCTATTCCCAGTGTGGCCTTGAACTCACAGAAATCTGGATGAATCTCTGCCTTCCAGGATTCTAGGATTAAGGGTGTGTGCCACCACTGCCTGACCTCTATGTTTAATATAGTGGCTGGCTTTTTCCTCTGATCTCCATGTAAGCTTTATTTATTAGAGCACAAATAAAATATCACCACAATCCCTTAGTGGTTTTTTGACAGGATACCATGCAAAATGCTTTTTTATTATTGAATGACCTTTTATATTTTTCCTCAAGTGATAACTGAAAAAGCATGTGGCAGGGAGAATATGAACAAAAAAGCCAACTGTGTAGAAAGGAGATTTGTTACACTACTGAAGAAAGAGTGTGGAAAGAATATGATTGATTTAAGTCACTAACCTCACATAAATTGTCATATGCTGCTAGAACTCACCAAGAAACTGGCTCTGGAATTAGTCTTCATCCCCACCCAGTCATCTTTTAGAATAAAGCATGTTTGTCTCAAAGACCCCTTGTCTGCAAATGGTCTACCCCTTCCAACTCTGTGAGAGAGGTGAAAAGCAGCTCTAAATAAAAATATTGTGCCACAAAAACAGACATATAGAATGATGGTATAAAATGAAATACCCAAGCATGAGTATTCTTAATTACAGACATCTGATATTTGATAAAGAGGCAAAAAAAACACATGCTGAAGAAAAGAAAAGATCTTCAGAAAATTGAATGTTCATACACAAAAGAATGAAGTTAAAGCCATATATATTACCATGTACAAAAGTTAGACCCAAATGGATCAAAGACCTCATTTTGAACCCTGGAACACTAAACCTGCTAGAAGACAATTAGACAGAATCTTAGAAGACATAGAGTTAGGACAGGACTTTCTGAACAGGACTCTGTTGCCAAAGAATAATAGTCAACAACTGGCAACTTGGACCTCCTAACACTAGAAGCTTCTGTACAACTAAGGAAACAGTTAAACAAATAAAGAAGAAACTCAAAATGAGAAAAAACCTTGCCAGCTATCCATCTGATAGAAAACTAATATCTAGAATGTACACAGAACTAAAAAACAGAGTCAAGAAAACAAATGATCCAATAGAATGGGCTAGGGATATAAGCAAAGCATTCTCAATAAATGAAATAAAAATAGTTAATAAATACATTAAAAAGTATTCATCATCCTCATCAATTCTGGGCATATAAATTAAGACAATTTTGAGATTTTTATCTCACTCCAGTAAGAACGGGTAAAATCAACAAAACAACTGACAAAAAATGCATGTAACATTTTGGAAACAGTGGAACTCTCATTGACTGTTGATGGGAAGACAAACTGGTGTATCTACTCTGGAATGAATAGGGATAATCCTCAAAAAAAAAACCTAAAAATAAATCTACCATATGCTCTAAATATAGCACTCCTTGGCATGTGTCCAAAGACTTGTCTTCCTGTTCTGCAGATTGCTGCTCAGTTATGTTCATTATCATCATATTCATATAACCAGGAAATAGAAACAAAATAAAATGCCATTCAAGAGATGAATGGGAAATGAAAAAGTTGTACAT